ATCGAAAAATCAAAAGATCGAGAAATTGAAAAATTGAGAAACCGAAATAGGCCAAAATCGGAAAATTGAAAAGTTAAAATTTGAAAAATTGATAAATCGTGGAATGAAAACATCGAAACATCTCCACCTCCATAAATCGAGAATTCAAAAAATTTAAAAATTCGAAAAATTGAAATACTGAGAAATCGAATGATCAAAAGATCGAGAAATCGGAAAGTCCTGAAGCCGAAAAATCGAAAAATTGAGAAACCGAAATATGCCAAAATCAAAAAAACGAAAAGTTAAAAGTTGAAAAATTGGAAAATCGAAAAATCTAGAAACGGTAAAACAAAACACGGAAAACTGGAAAAGTTATTAATTAAAAAACTCATAAATCGAGAAATTGAACAATCAAAATATCGAAGCATCCGAATCTCGATAAATCGGGAAATCAAAACATTGAAAAATCAAACAATTTAAAAAATCAAAAATTAAAAAATCGAAAATTTGAAAAAACGAAAAATAAAATCTAAAACCGGAAAGTTGAAAAATCGAAAGATTAAACAATCAAACATTTGGAAAATTCGAAAACTTGAAAAACTGAAATATGGAAGAACTGAAATGAAAAATCGAGAAATCGAAAAAACTAAAATTTTAACAATTGAAAATTTAAAATATCAAATAATTGAAAAATCTAAAATTTAAAAATCGAACATTGAAAAATCTAAAACGAAAAAGTAAAAAAATCGACACATCGAAAAATCCAGAAGTCGAAAAATCGAAATATTGAAAAATACCAAAACTGAAATATCAAAAAACTGAAAAATCATCAAAAAACTGAAGAATGGAAAAACTGATGTCAAAAAACTGAGAATCTAAAAAATTTTATAATTAATTGGAAAATCGCATAATCAAAAAAGTAAGTCGAAAAATCGAAACCTCAAAAAAATCGAAAAATTGAAAAATCAAAAACCCTACAAATCGAAAAACTGAAAAACTGAGGAACAGGAAACTCTAAACAAACGAAAGTCAAGAAATGGGAAAATCAAAAACATCGATTAATTGAAAAATCGCAAAATTGAGAGTTTAGAAAAGTCAAAACTTGAAAAATTGAAAAGTGGAAACATCGTAAAATTGAGAAATCGAAAAATTGAAAATTTGAGAATTTGAATAATAAATAATCCGAAAATTCCAAAACTGATCCTTTGAAAAATTGAAAAATTAAATAAAAAGGAACGAATGGAAAAACTAAAAAATTTCAAAAGTGAAATTCCAAAAATTGAAAAATTAAAAATTTAAAAAATTGAGAAATCAAAAAGTCTGAAAAGTGAAGTCGAAAACTCAAAACTTTAAAATTGAAAAAAAGTAAAATATCGAAAACTGAGAGTTCATAAAAGTGTACTTTGAAAAATTGCAAAATCCAAATATTTAAAAATTGTAAAATTGAAGAGGAGAAAAATTGAAAATCGTGAAATTGAAAAATGGAGAAATTGTAAAATCGAAAAAATGATTAATAAATAAATTGAAAAATCCCAAAACTGAAATATTCAAAAACTGAGAAACTAAAAAATTGGAAAATTGAGAATTCGAAAAATCAAAAATTGAAGTCGAAAAATCGAAACCTTAAAAAATAGAAAAATTCAAGAATTGAAGAATTGAAAAATCGAAACAGTCGAAAGTCAAGAAATAGGAAAATCATAAGATTGATTTATTGAAAAATCGAAAAATTGAGAATTTGGAAAAGTCAAAAATTGAAAAATGAAAAGTCGAAATATTTGAAAATGTTAAAATTGGAAAGAAAAATTGAAAAAATGTAAATCTGAAATATCGAAAACTTGAGAAATCGAGAAATTGTGAAATTGAAAAATTGGATAATAAATATTCTGAAAAATCCCAAAACTGACATTTTGAAAAATTGGAAAATGAAAGAAAGACTGAAAAATGGAAAAACTGAAAAATTTCAAAAAAGAAATATGTAAAAACTGAGAAATTAAAAAATTAAAAAATTGAGAACTCAAAAAGTCGAAGAAGTGAAGTCAAAAAATCAAAACCTTAAAAAATTGAAAAATTGAAAAATCAAAAACTTAAAAAGTTAAAAAATTGAAGAAATGAAAAACAGAAAAATTGAAAGTTTATTCAAGTAAAATTTGAAAAATTGTAAAAACCAAATAAATATATATTTAAAAATCACAAAATTGAAGGGGAGAAAAATTGGAAAAACGTAAAAAAAATCGAAAAATCAGAAAAGTGAAGTTGAAAAATCGAAACCTTAAAAAATAGAAAAATTCAAAAATTTAAGAATTGAAATATCGAAAAATTGAAGAACTAAAAAATCGAAACAGCGATAGTCAAGGAATAGGAAAATCTCATTGATTTATTGAAAAATCGAAAATTTGAGAATTTAGACAAGTCAAAAATTCAAAAATGAAAAGTCGAAATATTTGAAAATGTTAAAATTGCAGACAAAGCTTGAAAATAATTAAAACTGAAATATCGGGAAATTGAGAAATCGAGAAATTGAAAAATTGAGAAATTGTGAAATCGAAAAATTGAATAATAAATATTCTGAAAAATCCCACAACTGAAATTTCGAAAATTGGAAATTGAAAGAAAAACTGAAGAATGGAAAAACTGAAATATCTAAAAACTGAGAAATTAAAAAATTAAAAAATTGAGAAATCAAAAAGTCGAAGAAGTGAAGTCGAAAATTCGAAACTTTAAAAAGTAGAAAAAATCATGAAAAATTGAGAATTTAGAAAAGTCAAAAATTGAAAAATTGGAAAGTCGAAATATTTGAAAATGGTAAAATTCGAGAGAAAAATTGAAAAAATGTAAATTTGAAATATTGGAAAATTGAGAAATTGTAAAGTCAAAGAATCAAAACTTTAAAAATTGAAAAACTGAAAAATAGAAGAACTGAAAAATAGAAAAACTGAGAGTTTATAAAACTGAAATTTGAAAAATTGTAAAAGCCAAATATTTAAAAATCGTAAAATTGAAGAGAAAAATTGAAATTCGTCAACCTGAAAAATTGAAAAATTGTAAAATCTAAAAACTGAATAATAAATAAACCGCAAAATTCCAAACGAAATTTCGAAAAATTGAAAAATCAAAGAAAAATTGAAAAGTTCCAAAACTGAAATATCCAAAAACTGAAAATCTAAAAAACTGAAAAATTGAGACATCGAAAAATCAAAAAAGTGAAGACGAAAAATCGAAACAGTCGAAAGTCAAGAAATGGAAAAATCAAAACATGGATTTATTGAAAATTCGAAAAATTGAGAAATTAGGAAAGCCAAAAATTGAAAAGACGAAATATTTGAAAATCGTAAAATTGAAAAAACGTAAAACTGGTACATCAGATAATAGAGAAATTGTAAAATTGAAAAATTGAATAATAATAATAAATAATCTGAAAATTCCCATAACTGAAATTTCGAAAAACTGAAAAATAGAAATCAAAAAATCAAAAAGTAAAGTCGAAAAATGAAAACCTTAATGAATTGACAATTTGAAAAATTAAAAACCTAAAAAATTAAAAAAACGAAGAAATTAAAAATCGAAAAACTGAGAGTTTATAAAAGTCAAATTTGAAACATTGTCAAAACCAAATATGTATTTAAAAATCGTAAAAATGAAGAGGAGAAAAATTGAAAAACCTGAAACTGAAATCAAAAAATTGAAAATCGGGAAATAGAAAAATCAAAAAGTGGAGTCGAACAAATAGAAAAATTGAAAAATCAAAAAATTGAAGAACTGAAAAAATGAAAAATCGAAGCAGTCCAAAGTCAAGAAATGGGAAAATCAAAACAGATTAATAAAAAAAAATCATGAGAAGTACTTCCTAACGTTTCCAAAAGATAAAAATAACTGCTCGAATTCAATTTTTAGTAGAAGTATATATTTAAAGTTATGGCTTCACTGTTATTTAAAGCCTCAGTCTGAGTATTAATGACTCTTAAAAAGAATTTAATTTTTGCTGTAAAAATATCTGGTTTACAAAGCCATACACATTCATTGAAATTTTATTTTGTTTCCCGATTTAAATAATCAAAGAAGATGAAAATAATATTAAACTTTAAACTTCTAAAATTTTTGTTTTCTACTGACTGTGCAAAAATTATTTTAAATGAACGAGTACATTCAAATTAGCAGTTTAGATCAAGAAGCCTGTGAGATATATATTTTTGAATCAATAATTTTATATTTACTTAAAGCCTCCGTCTACTACTGTCAAATTGCTCTTAAAATTATTTTATTTTTACTGTAAAAGAGAGCTTCTCTATAAAACATATTCATTGCAATTTTTTAAATAACCAAAGAACATGAAAATAATATTAAGTGACTTTTCAAATTTTTATTTCCTATTAACTGCGACATTTTTTAAACACTAACCACAAAAACTCTAAACATTATTGACATCGAAAAACTACATTAAAATTGGGTTTTAGATAAAATACAGGTACCTAGAGACATATTTTTGAATGAATCGTGTTATAGTTACTTAAAGCCTCAGTATAACAACGAATTACTTTACGAAATACTTTCTTTTGTTGTAAAAAAGAGCGCGTCTACAAAATTATACACATATTCATTGAAATTTTGTTTTCTTTTCCAGTTTAAATAAACATACAAGGTGAAAATAATATTAAGTAATTTTTAAAATGTTCGTTTCCTGCTGACTGCGCCATTTTTGCGTCCTTGTTTTTTCTCACAAAATTAAAAATGATTGAGATAGAACGACTATGTTAAAATTATCTAAAAGCCACCTTTGTAGGTACCTGGAAAAGTATATTTTTGAATGAATCATTGCATCAAGTTGTTAATTTTATTAAAACTTTTTAAACTTAAGATGTTCTTAAGTTAAAAAATGTTTCTTTCTGCAGTAAGAAAACTCGGCTACACATGTGAGAACAACATCAAGCGACTTTAAAAAATTTTCGTTTCCTGCGCCATTTTCGCGTCCCAAAAATCATTAACATCGGAATCTTCTAAATCTCTCTACACCTCTCCCTTTCCAGGAAAATCGACAGGGATTGTGACAAACACAAGAATAACTCATGCCACACCCGCAGCGCTGTACGGCCATTCTCCGTCACGCTACTGGGAGGACGATTCCAAAGTTCCCCCTGCGTCCCGGAAATCCTGCAAGGATTTAGCTCGCCAACTCATCGAGAACGATCCTGGACGTAATATCAACGTAAGTACCTGCCGTTTTATTCCTCTAATTCACGTCCCACTTCTGTCGCTGACTTGATTTAACTGATTAATTTCGAGTCATTAGGGGATGAACGACGTTTGATCTACAATTAGTTCCGACTACTAACGCGCATTAGGAATAGTAGCTACAGTTTCACGGCTTGCGGTAATTAATGTAGGTAATGTGACGTAATTGTTATTGACAGAGTCTGTTTTGTGAACACGTAATTAGAGATGGCAGATGCCGAAGGTGCGCTAATTAGCGAAGCAGCGGAGCGCGATTTTTGATGGATGAATTTTAATTATCATAACTGAAATCGATTCCGGTAATTGGTAAAATTCTTACGTTTTTTTTTAAACTAGAAAATAATTAATTAAAGCGCGTTTCGGGATAATCGGGGATAAATAACCCGATCCTGCCTAAACATATTCAAGTTCACACCGATTTTAATTTTCTTTCGACGGCAGCCGCCGCGAATTATTTTCGCAGTCCACAAAAAATATAGCCCCGGGAAAAGCTTTCATTTATTTTCTATTTTTCGCTTATTTATTATTTATCCGTTGACGCCTTCTTTAATATGAATTCACGCACCAGCTGTTCTGCGTTACGCACAATTCTTCCTTCCATTCTTTTGAATGGAACTCACATGTGGTCAAGTGATATCGGATCCATTCATAAATTATTAAATTTCATCAGAGAAATCATTTTTGAGGAAAGTGAGACGAGAGATTATTGAGTTACAATGCAAATTTGATTTTATGGGATTACGCGGATCTGGGATTGACATGAAGATCAGGTGAATGTTAATGGGGTTCTGTGTTAGTGGACACTTTGTAATCGAGAATTCTCATTAGCAACAGCACCTGTGAGTAATCACTTTAGATGGCAATAATTATTACTTTGTTAAACATCAGATTACAATGGCGGACCCTTGTCGGGCTGACTCGTCGTTATACGCCCAATTTCGTGAAACGGGGATACAAAAACTCGCTAAATAAGCTTTGACGTCGATGGAGCTTTCATACGAAATTTAGATGCTGCTGAATTAAACGCACTTTTCTCCATTATTTGAAAAACGCCAAAACAAATCAATGATAAACAAGTCTTTTTTTATGGAAAAATCTAAAATTAGTGTTCAAATCTACGAAAATGTTGTTATTAGGAAGATTTTCCCGGCGCATCCACCAAATTCGCCCTAAAAAATTTAAATTGTTAAAACGGTTTAAAAAATGATTATTTTTTCTGAAATTTTCTGGAAATCACGAATGTGTAACAGAGAAAAAATCTAAAACTAAGTAGTTAGTCGAGAAATCTAAAAATCGATAATTGGATATGATCTTTTTTTTTCGTTTTTTGTACCTCCTCTGCAAAAAGTTCTTATTGCTTATCCTGTTATAAAGTAATCACGTAAAAGGAATCCTCCGTAAATTGTAAAATTGAGAAAACAAAAAGTTAAGACATCGGAAAATTGAAAAATCGAGAATTAAAAAAATTAAATCATGAAAAAATAAATAGTCTTCTAAACAAACTGAAAAATTTGCAATGGTATACTTAAGAAAATGAAAAATTTCACATTGTAAATTTGAAAAATTGAATCGTAAAATTCAAAAATAATACAATCAAAAATTTTAAAACTTATAGAAAGAAATTGAATATTAACTAAAATCTGAAAAAATGAAAAATGAAAAATCCAAAAACCTAAAGAAAAAATCACAAAATTGAAAGATTGTGTAATTGGGGAATCGAAAAAATGCAAAAGTGGAAAGTCGAAAAATTTAAAACTTTAGATCGGAAAACTTGAAAAATCGAAGAAAACGGAAAAATCGCAACATACAAATTGAATTAAACAATTGAAAATTAAATATTGAAAAATCTAAAAAGTAGGAAATCGAAAAATTGAATAAGTGTGAAATGGAGGAACCGTATAATTAATCTTGGTGTTTAGGAATCGTAAAATCGAAAAATCGAAAACTTTTTTTTTTTATTTTTTCGAGATCACGAATTATTTTTGCTATATGTTACCAGATCACACGAAAAAGGCATCTTTATATAAAAATCTTAAACTAGTCAATCGAGAAATCTAAAAATCGATAACTGCAAATTTGAGAAAGTATAAAGTTAAAAAATTGAGAATTTGAAATGAAAAATCCAATATTGAAACATTGAATAATCGTCTAGAGAAACTTGAAAATTTGAAATCGTATAGGTAAGGAAACGAGGAATTTCAAAGTAAATTTGAAAAATCGGCTCATCATAAAATGGAAAAATGACGAAATTTAAAATTTGAAAAATTCATAAAATAATTGAAAATTAAAACTTGAACTAAAAAAACTAAAATCTGAAATAAATGAAAAATCTCGAATTCGAAAAATCACATCATTCAAGAATTATATCACTGAGACATAAAAAAATGCAAAATTGAAAATCGAAAATTCTAGATCGGAAAACTGGTAAAATCGCTATATTAAAAACTTGTGAAATTCCAAGTTAAAAGAAAATTAAATATTGAAAAATCTAAAGAGTGGAAAATCAAAAAATCGAACAATTAAAAAATCGGAAATCGAAAACTCAAAACATGGAAAATTCAAAAATTCAAAAAACAGAAAAATTGTGGAATTGGATAACCGAAAAATCGAGAAGTCTAGAATTCAAAAAATGGACAAATTGAAAACTTTGACACGCGAAAAATAGAAAATTTGAAAAATATCAAAATTGAAAAATCGAATAATCTAAAAGTTTAAAAACGGAAAAATATCATATTTTAAAAATTGCAAAAAACCGAAAAATTGAAGAATAAAAAAGATTATAATATGGAGAAAACGAAAAGTCTAAAATTTTAAAAATCGAATAATCCAAAAGTTTAAAAATCGAAAAATCTCATTTTAAAAATCGGAAAAAATTGGAAATATTGAAAAATTGAGGAATTGAAACGTTGAAATATAGAGAATTCAAAATATAAAAAAAATAAAACAAATTAAAAATCGAAAAATTCAAAAAATGTAAAACTAAAATATCGAAATACTGATAAATCGATAAATCGAAAAATTGAAAGATCCCAAAACTGAAACATCGTAAACTGGAAATAGAAAACTCAAAAATGCGAATATTTAAAAACGCAAAAAACTGAAAAGTCAAAAACCTGAAAAAATGTGAAATTGAAAAACTGAAAAAGCAAGAATTCGAAAAATGGAGAAATCGAAAACTTGGAGAAGCCAAAAATAGAAAATTTGAAAATTGTCAAAATTAAAAAATCGAAAAACTGAAGAATCAAAACATTGAGAAATCAAAAATTTGAGAAATTGAGAAATTTAGAACCAAAAATCCAAAATTTAAAAATTCGACAAATCGAAAAACCTGAAATTTTAAAAATCGAAAAATATTATATTTTAAAAATCAAAAAAAAAAATGAAAATATTGAAAAATTGAGGAATCAGAAAGTTGAAATATTAAGAAATGAAATTATCACAAAATTGAAAAACTGAAAACTCAAAAAAACAAAACTAAAATTTTTCAAAAATTGATCAATCGAAAAACTGGAAAATTGAAAAATTCCTAAAATGAAACATCAAAAAATTGGAAAACGAAAGCTCAAAAAATTGAAAATATGAAAACTCAAGAAACTGAAAAATCAAAAGCCTGAAAAATTGTGAAAATGAAAAACTGAAAAATCGAGAAATCGAAAAATGCACAAATCGAAAACTTGGAAATTAAAGAATAAAAGAATTAAAATATCCAGAAATCGGAAAATCAAAATATTGAAAAATTGATAAATCGAATTTTCGATTAAATTAAATAAAAAATAAAAAAAAATCGGAAAATTGAAAAATTGAAAAATTGAAAAATCCCAAATCTGAAACTCAAGTCGAAAATTCAAACAATCAAAAATTGGAAAATCAAAAACCGAAAAGGACAAATACAAAATTTGAAAAGTGTCTAAATTAAAAATCAAAAAAACGATAGTCGAAAATTTAAAGTACAGAAAATTAAAAAATCTAGAATTTTAAAAATCGAAAAAAATTAAGAATATCGAAAAATTGAGGAATCAAAAAACTGAAACAAGGAAAAATTGGAAATCGAAAACTCAAAAAATCGAAAAATAACTCAAAAAAACTGCAAAATCAAAAACTTAAAAATTGGTGGTGTTGAAAAACTGAAAAATCGAGAAATCGAGAATTCCAAAAATGGACAAATCGAAAACTTAACTTCGTAAAATTGAAAAATCAAATGTAAAAAATTGAGACATTGAGAAATTGACTACCAGAAATAGAAAATATTTGAAATTAACAATTCTCGAAATGGCTTTAGTCAAATGTTATCCCGCCGCATCCACCAAATTTGTTCAAGAAATATAAACTTAATGAAAACGGTTTCAAAAATGCCTATTGTTTTTGAAATTTTTTGAAGGTTACAAATTGAAAAATTTACCACCGTATATTTAAAAATCCTCGAAATGAATGGTTTGTTAAACGTTCTCAAGACACATCCACCAAATTTGCTCTAGAAGTTTACACTTGGTTAAAACTGTTAAAAAAACGTTTTTCTTTTAATTTTTTCGAGATCACGAATTATTTTTGCTATATGTTACCAGATCACACAAAAAAGGCATCTTTATAGAAAAATCTAAATTATTTTTGCCGTATGTTGCCAAATAACGAAGGCAAAGGGCATCTTTATAGAAAATTTAAAAATCGAACAATTGTTAAATTGAAAAATCGGAAAATAAAAAAATCGTATAGAGAAACGAAAAATTTCAAATTGCAAAGTTGAAATATCGGATTATGCTTTAACTGAAAAATAACAATATCGAATATCTGAAAAATTGAAAAATGAAAAATTCCGAAGGCGAAAAAATCACAAAACTGGAAAATTATATAACTGAGAAGTCAAGAAACTCCAAAATTGGAAATTTAAAAATTGAAAACTCTAGATCGGAAAACCTGAAAAATTGAAATCTGAGAAGTAGCCAAATTCAAAAATCGAAGATCGAAGTTGAAAAATTG